AAAAAGAAATCAATCCATTATGATTTTGCAAACATGCAGTGGACTCTGGAAGGACAAAGTTCTTCTTTAAAACAACACTTTTTAAATTGGCAGGTTTGCCTTGTTTAAAAAAAATTAAGTAGGACAAGCAAGTCAATAAAAATATGAGTATTAATGGTCCATCATTTTAAATCAGATTCTTTTTGAGATAAAAAATCCTAGCTTTAGCCAGGCGTGCATGTTGCTGTCATTTTGCTTTTTGGAATCAAAAAGCTTTCATAATTGTCACCATGAAAGTGTTACTCAGAAATGTCATTGGTTTTCATCTTTGTGCAAAACATGAACTCTTGTCATTGACTTTTTTGTGTTGAGGTTCCCCCATTTTTTTATTTTTATTTTTTATTATTTTTCTTGGCTGCCCTTCCGGGCACTCTTTCTGTTGAAATACTTGGTCTTGGCTGCATTTTTTTTTTTCCCTGTGGGGTTTACAGAAAAAAAATAAAAATAAAAATAAACATTTTCTTGCAGATAAGTCATTTTTTGGTTGGTTTGTTTAAGTGGCCCAGTTTCTTGTGATTTGTAAAGATAGATTAAAAATATTTGTATAAGGGGGGGAAAACTTTAAGAAGTAAACATGGTTGGGTTTTTAAGATTATTTTGGGCGTCCTCTAGCACGGCCTGCCCCAACCTTGATGCTCTCTGGCGCAGACTTCTGCTCCAGAATTGCCTAGCCAGCAGGGCCTCTACGAACAGTCTGGGCTCATTCGCCCCTGTGGAGGATATCGAGTGCATTCCTCCAGCCTCGAGGATGACCAGTTTTATTATGATTGCACTTGGCCATTTGCTGATTTTTCTATTGAAAATAAGTCTTAAAAATACACTGACCAATCAACACCTTTTTAGTCAATTAATTATAATATTTCAGTCATTTAAATGTTGCTGCTCCAAAAATGGGTTTTCACTTCACCATTTGGGTAGGAAATGGTTTACTCAATCTGCCTTCCTTGCTAACATTTAATAAGAATAAATATAAGTTTGTGAGAGCATTTAGTTCATTTACCTTATCCCTAAACTTGTGTTAAGACATTGGGAGGGCAGGGTATAAATCCTGTGATATATGCTACTTTTGAGTTTTGTTGCTGGACAGAGTCTTGCAAATAAATCTCCTAAAAAGCTATCTTTATTGGCTTCAGGAGAAAATGAAATCCATGGAGAAAATAAAACAACTGGCTCGGTTGTTGGAAGCCATAAAGAATGGCTTATGAACTACAGGGGCCAGATTCACATGACATTAAGTCATAAGTAAACCACATTGTGTCAGCATAACACATGAACCCAGCGATTTCTAGTTTATGCACAAATGATGCTTAAAACACAGCCTAGTGCAGTGTGCGAACCTGTATTTATTAGATTCATATCCTATCTTTCCCTTTAGAAGCTCAAGGTGGCACGTCCCATTTCCCCCCACAACAATCTTAGGAGATAGATTGAGCTGAGAGAGAGTAACTAGCCCAAACTCACCCAGGAAGCTTCTGTGGCTGAGCATGAACAGTCTCCCAGCTTCTGATCCTGAATCATCATGCCACACAGATTCTATTTCTGCAGAGATTTAGATGAGCTGTAGATCTCTTAAACCAAAAGTATCAAAACAAACTTCAACCTGCCATTTACTGCTCCCCCCTTATCTTTTTTTCCTTGTACAAGACACAGTATAGGCTTGATACTCTGTACAGGTAGTCCTCCTTTAACAACCACAAGTGGGACTGGCAACTTCCTGGTCATTAAGCAAAGCAGTCACTAAGACTAAGTGAAACTGCAACTGTGCTTTTGATCTTCCTCCAGCTTTCCTTTGCTCTACAGACCTGCAAAGTTCATAAATGCAAGGATTGGTCGCAAAGTTACTTTTTCATCACCATCATAACTCTGAACGGTCGCTATACGAGGCAGTCGCTAAACAAGGACTACCTGTATTTAAAAGAAAGGACTCTACAGCTGCAGTCTTTCTTAAGTTAACATTAAACCTGATGTGATTTCAATAATGACTTCATCTTCCTCAGAGAGCATGCAACTTGTGAAAAACCTGTTTAAAGCTTTGAACCATATGCTCGAGGGTAGATCATCTTAGATCACCAAGAACTGCACTTAAAATCTTTGGGGCGGGCACAGTGATGATGCAAAGAAGTGGGCCCAGATCACACCCATTGGCAAGGATTTTCTGGGGTGGATTCAATGTTTAAGCTGGGAGCATTTAAATATTAAACCAATTTTGTGAGCAACACAAGCACTATAGTACATTTCCTGATTTAAAATATTAGGAAACTGCTGCCAGTTTGCATGGAGGAATTTTGTGGTGCCCAAAAATGGGTTGGGGAGCCATAATTGATCCTGAGGGTTCAGGTTCCCCATTCCTGATGGAAACCAAAGTGCAATGCAGTTTCGTGTTCTGTTGCTCCAATCAAAATTTCAAATTGGAGTAAAAACAATTGCATGTGATCCATGCCCTTTATTTAGGGTTAGTAACTCACTAAACAGAGTCCTTTTAGGTGGTAAAGACCTGCATTTGGCTATTCTTTCATCTGCAGATATGAAGTCTGGTTAAAAAGAAAAGAAAAAAGAAAAGAAAAAAGAAAAGAAAAGAAAAGAAAAGAAAAGAAAAGAAAAGAAAAGAAAAGAAAAGAAAAGAAAAGAGGGAAATCTCATCACATTTAATGTTTTTAGTTGTTTATTTCTGGGGAAAAGTAGGAGAAGAGGTGTTGGATTAAAATAAACTTGACTTATAATAGGTTGATAACATAGTTTCAGATATAAACTCTCTAAATGACTAAATTTAACAAAAGAATGCTCCTATCCACTTTTACCTTCGGTGTTCTTTTTTTTTTTTTTTTA